ATTCTAAGGAAACAATCAAATTGTAAAACACTGTATATTACTTTATTTTTTTACTTGTAAATTTTTCTAAACTGAAATTTGATAGAAATGAAGAAGAAAATTATTAAAAAAACTAAAGTTTCTTTAATTACAGTAGTAATAGTAATTTATAATAACAATAATTATTAATGATTTTCATTTCAATGCATTCTAAGGAAACAATCAAATTGTAAAACACTGTATATAACATCATTGTTTTACTTGCAAATTTTTCTAAACTGAAATTTGATAGAAAGGAAGAAAGGAAGAAAGTTAGTAAAAAAAAAATGACTCAAACGGTGGAGGGGGGTGGGGAGGGGAGAGGAGGGCAAAAGATAAAAATAAATTGTTTGTTTAATTATTGTTATTATGGGTAAAATGAGCATGCTACCGAGAAAGTGTGGCATTTACGTTCGTGTACGTCTACGTGTGCGTGTTCGTGTGTGTTAAATGTGCGTGTATGTGAGAAATAAAGAAAGAGAGAAACGTAATCGTTGAAAAAGTGTCACGCTCGTGCTTTCATTAGACATTTTAAATAATAGTCCGTAGGATAAATGGGCCGGGTGAATTATCTTTCCGCTTTTTTAACCCTTTTCTAGATTATTTTTCTGTTTGTTCCTTTTCTCTCAGGTTTCGGAATCCGATGATCGACAATGCCGATAATAAATTTCATTCGTAACAAGTTAAACATTCGATTATTCCTTTTATTTTATTTTCATCCTTTTTTTACATTCAATTCTTCGTTTTATTTTATTTTAATTATTTTTTGATCTCATTGTTTAAAATTAAACAACTTCGTAGTATTTTTGTATTTTTATTTTTTACGTTTCAATATCTTAGATCCTTTTTTTTTGTGTTTGGTTTAATTTATATTTAAGACAAATTGAAAATATAAATAAATAATATTCGCGTAATTTTTTTGTTTGCGTTTAACATATTTTTAATGACAAATTATTCCTAATAAATAATTCAACTCATTTTCGATGATTTTTCAAATATCACTCGCGATAATATTTAATGAATTATTTATCATTAGTTCTATACACATACTTTTTTCTTTTTTTTTTAATACAAAAAGAAAATTATTTCGCAATATATTAAAACGTTCGACGTGCTTCCATTTTTAAATACCTTAGCGTACGTACACACGTTTAAAGTGAATCCAATGATTTTCTGTTCTCGTTAATACGAAAATTTATTTCGCATATTTCGGTGACTCTGATATCGAATTACAAAATTTTCGTTTTAATTACTCGTTCATTCTTTTATTATTTCTTTTTTTTTTATTTGTCATATAATTAATTTCCCTAGGATTATTAATATACATATATATATATGTGTCTGTGTATGTATTCGTAATTGCATTAAATATATATATACGTAAATTATTTTTCAAACGTAAATCAAATTTTTCGAACATGTTTTTTTTCTGGAGATATTAAAGATAAACAAATGAATTATTTAATTAATAATAAGTGTTGTAATAGGAGTCAAGAAAATTGAAAAAGAGGGAGAGAGAGAGAGAGAGAATATTTAAAAATATATAAATTGTTCATAAAAATTCGTACGAGTTTTTTCCTTCATTATTTATAGAAAATCATTTTAATTTTATATCCAAGGGATAATATCGTATTACTTTAATATACAAACTATTTCAAAACAATGGTGTTGGTTTCGTTAACGGTTACGTAACATATTACTATTAAAATTGTAATACAATTTTATATGAAAGAAAGTATTCAAGTTTTCTCGTGAAATGTCATGTGTGATTTTAATTATACGTATAGAATTAAATCAATCGTAATACAAAGTTAAAAAGTCTAATGTTACAAGGTACAAAACAGATATTACAATGAAACACGTTTTAATATTTTTATTAGATAAAACGTTATCTTGTATTATTTTAAAATATTACAAACAGATTATTAATAATTTGATTAGAATAAACGTACACACCATAAAATACGTATAAATTGTATATATACATTGTATACATTCATATCATTTAATACACATATTATTTATATTTGAAAACAAAATGTTATCTTATATTTTTTTATCTATTTTTTTTTTCAATTACAAACAGGATTATTATAATATTAGTTTTATTAGAATGAACATACACCATAAATACTTAGAAATTATTTCACGTTTGATGTCGAGTTACAATAGATACTTAATAGTATAATAAATATATCTGTGACAAACAAATTAATGTTGAGACAAAAAGACTCAAATTAGAAAAGTTTAAAGGGTTTACAATCTTA